GGGCCTGCGATACCTAGTAAGCAGGAGTGCTATGTGACCACGACGGCAACGACTGTGACGCTGGTGTGCGGCAGCAGCTCCGCAGAGAACTCCCTTCGAGTGACAGCGTGCAACGCATGCTTTCAGATGCTGGTCAGGGTTGTGCCTGTCTTTTGCTTGTTAGGGTTTTAGCTCACCTATTGGGGGTTCCTTTATGTCTCTTTCGCTGGCTGGCGACAGTCCGGATTGCATCGAGTTCAACAGGAAAAAGACAGCACAAGAAAGAACCAAACTTCAGCCCCATATCTCCTGAATGAGGGAAACGTACAGCTAGGAGAACTCAAGCCAAAAGGATGCCGCCTCTCCAAACCCTCTAAGGTCATGACAATGAAATGCAAGTCAGCACGTGTAAATAAAGGCGTTTCGTCACGCCATCGAGTTGGCAAGTTTGACCTGTGCCCCCTACTCGACCAGTCCTTCGATGACCTCAACACCGAACAAGTCTGCCCCCAAGGTTCCACCGTCCCCGCTCGGCACTCGGGTCGGGCATCTGAGGAACACACTCTGCTGCGCGTGACTCTGCGGCATGGAACAAGAGGAGCATGTCAGATGCCTGCGCAGCCCGGAATCCGCTTGCCGCGTTTCGTGCCCTCTCGTGGACTGTAGGGGCCTTAATAATTAGNNATTCTATATTTAAAATAAGGAACCCCCAAAATAGTATAGGTAATTATTAAGGCACCTATAGTATGAAGCGGAACATTGAAACGGCCATGTGCCTACAGTGTTTGCGATGCGGCTACTGCTCAGCAGAGGCGATTACCATGTCGTGAAACCGTAACCCCTCAAACCCTAAACCCTAAGCCCTGAGCATCCCGGAGCTCCAGCGTTCTGCAGAGGCATAAGCATTAAGCATCCTTCACACCTGACGCCCCGTTCCGGATCGAGACTCTCGATGTTGTGTTGTGAGGCTTTCTGGATCTCTCTGCCGTCTTCTTTGCTGGCGAGGCTTCCATGCTCGGTTTCCTGTCGTAGTCGTGGTCGATGTCGCAGTGTTCTTTGCTGCCGTTGTCCCCATACTCTTTGTTGGAAAATTAGAGTTCCGGGTTAGGCTTGCGGGGCTTTGGGGCTTGAGGGGCTCGCGGTTCGTGCTCCTTGGCGACACGACTGCAATCTCGACATTAGCTAAGGCGAGGACAACGACTTCAACGTCTGCTCCCTTCACCGCCACGGCCCTCATTAAAAAACCCTAAAAGCCCCCAAAGCCTAAAACCCAAAAACCCAAAAACCCTAAACCCTAAACCCTAAACTTACCCAAAACCCTAAAAAACCCAAACCCTAAACCGAGGCAGCACTTTGAACCGGCCTCGTCCTGCAGCGAGTCCCGCGCGGCCTGCGCACCACAGGACTATAAGGGTACGGGGTGCATAGGGCTTTGGGTTCAGGGTTGAGGTTATATCTTGACATGGGCAGAAGGCCTTGAATATGAGCATGGTTCTCTGAGGAAGAAGCTGCTTCAAGCAATGAACAAAGAAGGACATGTCAAACATATATATATATATACACACACACACATACATACATCTGCCACCCCCGGGGGGTACCATATATATATATATATATGTATATGTATATATATATATATGTATATATATATATATATGTATATATATATACATACATATATATGTATATAGATACATAGATCAGTATACATAATTACATGTTATACTAACCTAAAAATAAAAAGGTGTGTATATGCATATAATGCACACACACACACAACTTCATTCCTCGCGGGCTTTGTGCGTCTGCAAGGCCTTGATTGCATCTAGCATACACCTTCAACGCAAAATCCGGAAATCGAATCCAGGCCCTGACCAGGGACCCCGGAAACGCTAAAGCGCCACATAGCTACACAATCATCATCGTAAGCACCAGCAACAATCAGATAATCACAATCACAATCCGATCATAATAATCGCTCGATCATAAACAACAGAATCCTAATCAATCATAAGAATAGAGAGTGTAAGACATTACGGGCCCCGTATTTTACGAGTAACTTTGAATCACAAAGCTTACTTCCATGGGAAGTATATGATTTAAAGACAAATTGCTACAACTGCGAGTGTCGAAAATATGGGGCCCGTAATGTCTTATTTTCTGTAAGAATACTACCTGTCACCCGAAATCCAGAAGCCTTTAAGCCGTTTAGCGACGGTGACCCACCTCGGCTACCTCCAGAGAAGCTTGCTGCCTCTCCAACTCCTGTCCATACCGGCTTCAGGCGTTTATAGGTTTTTCCATGAGATTTGATAGGGCTTTGTATAGGGTATAAGGGGCTTAGAACGTAGGGCACGAGCCACAAAATTCAGACAGCGGTCGCCAGAGCGAGAATCAACATGCACACAGGGTTGTGCAAGGTTGAGGGTATCAATGGTAGGACGTAGAGTCACAAAAGGGGTAAGCACCCGACGCCACCGAACAAACGGCACTTTCATTGAGCCATGTAATGACCATGGCTATACCAGAAAACTGGAACAGCACTTGGCAACGAGCTTTGATGCCCATTATAGACTACGTATGCGATTGTCGTGGATGAGCACCCGGTGCACACATGCGTTGGCATTCACAAAGCACGGATTGCGGGCACTATTCCAGACCAATTGCGGGTTAAACAAGCAACTCGAATTCGCGCATCCACCAGTCTCAAGAAAACATCTTGCAAGGGTACTGCTTTGGTAGGACACCGCTTTCTGGAGCCCTGAGCCCTGTAAGACGGTAAGCCCCTCATCACCCCTATTTCACCCCGAAACTCCTGCACGAATCACCCTCACGCAAAAAAGCCTATAGAGTAGACGACACCTCGACAACCTCGGCGAGCTGAGCTTGGCCGTCTGCGCGAGTCGATGGCTCTTGATGGTCTCAAGTTTCGGATTTGGGGGCAACCAGGGTTTCATATAGGGGCCTTAATGTTAGGGCCCATTGTACTGTAATTATAACAAGGAAGGCTTTGCCTTCGGATTTTCCATAGCCATGAGCCTCAGATCAGTTTCCAAAAGACAAGTAGTCCATCTTGGAGGCTACTATCCCTAAAGAGCCACCTAGCATAGCAACGAACTGCATAATATAGGGGCCTTAATAATTACCTATACTAAACTATCTTTGGGGGTGCCTGATCATACATTATTGCATAACTGGGCCCCAAAATCCTATTCCAACTATTAAGGCCACTATATTAGCTATCTGGACTTCTAGGGTTTTAGTTTACTGGGCCCCAAACATTAAGGCCACTAAAATAGCTAACTGGACTTCGAGGGGTTGAGTGGACAAGTCTTAGGCGGCTAGCAAGGGACAGGTAAGAACAGGCAATGTAGGGGCCCGAATGATTAGAAAAGGGTTTTTGGATGGTTTTGGGTTTGTTGCTAGTACAAATATGAAAGGAACCCGAAGGAATACTATTGGTAATTGTTGAGGCTTCTGTAATAAGTGCAGCTTATTTGAGGTGTGGGGCTGTGCAGTTTCGGCGGATAGGGTTTAAGGGTCCGTATCACCATTTTCCTATCATCCATAAGGCTTTGAGTGCCCTTTCTGATCAATGTGAAAGTCTCATCGAATACGTACTAACCAGTAATACCGTTCTTGTCCCGCCCATCTAAGACTATGGCGGGGATTTCCCGAGCCCCGAATGCTTTGTCCGTGCGATTGTGTCATAACGAAGGACACGCCTGAATTCCGGGACAGCCTTCCCAAAGAGAGCCCCTCGACTAAGCAATATACTATGCCGTAAACCGTATTATTACGCCCCAGTGGATCTCAGGTATATGGGGGTTTCCGAAAAT